TTTATGAAACACTGATTTCTGATCAGACACTACAAAAATCAGCCATTAAAAATAAGTTAAAAATACTATTTATATTGAATCTTTTCAAACTAATAATAATTAATAATCTGCAGTTTGACAGCTGCACTTGGTCAGACTTCTTGAAGTAAAAAAAACTTTTCAGATTAACAAGATTAATAATCCAACATATTCTGATCTTGTTTATGGGTCTGAAAAGAAGAAGAAAAACAGTTTTAATCTGATATCAGACTAAAACCTGGTCAGAGGAACAGTTTTCTGCAGTAAAATGACTCGACTGCTCAGAAACACTCACAGATTAAATAATCTTCACTTTAAACCTGATCAGGTTAGTTTCAGAGCACTTGTTACCATGGAAACAGAAATGCTTCCTCTRTCATCCAACTGACTCGAGGCTTAATTAATTCAGGTTTACACCTAAATCCTGGCTTGATCCCTTATCCTGGATTGGTGAAATAAGCTCGTGCCCAGGTAAAGTCATGTGACCTCCTCAGAACCAGAACAGCTCCTCCTTCATGGTGAAGGACTTTGTGTCAGTGGGGGGCCGATGGCCATGGGGGGTTTGGTCCTGGAAACCCTGATATCCTCAAGGCTCTGGAGGTTGTGGGGCTGTCTTASTGGGCATGGGGACCAGTGCCACTGGATGGTCAGACTGGGTGGGATCAGATGGTGGGTTCGTGGTACAGGGGGGCATCACTCTCAGCCTCCACAGTAAGGTCCATTCAGGGGGGCTGGGGGGACACTGGACCACCTCCTTATCCTTGCTATGGTACTTGTGGGGTCATGGACTTTGTCAGTCCAGTCTACATGGGTTTTGTGGACTTGGAGGTGTTTGACCGTGTTCCTTGTGGTTCAGTGTGGGGGTGGGGCTCAGTGAGTCTGGGGTTGGGGGTCCATTGTTACGGGTCATTCTGTCCCCCTGATGCCAGCAGTAAGTGGGACCTGGTTAAGGCTGTCCCTGTCAGATCCTGTTCAGAACAGGCAGAGTCCAGTTGGATGGGCTCAGGATTGGGTCTGTGCTGTTTGAGGATGACCCGGTCCTGCTGGGCTCATTGTGCTGTGGTCTTTGGTTCTGAAGCTCTTTGCAGTGAAGTGTGGAGCAGCACAGGTGAGCCTTATGGTCCTCAGTCTGAAGAGGATGGACTGACCTGTGGGSTGTGACTGAGGAGCTGCCTGAACTGGACAGGTTCAGATGTCTCAGGGTTCAGCAGATGGATCGGAGCAGCAGTGTTCTGGACGCTGTACCGGTCCGTTATGGTGAAGACAGAGCTGAGCTGTAAGGACAAGCTCCTTTTTTACCGTTTGTAACCAGGAACCAGGTCTGGGAAGACCCAGGACCCTCTGCAGAGACCGTGTCTCAGCTGGACTCCTCCTGGAGGAGCTGAAGGTGGCTGTGGACCACCCTGATCCACCTGCTGCCCCTGAGACCTGACTCTGAACCAAGATGATGGATGGACAGATGGATGGATGGATTCATGGATGGACGGATGGATGAATAGATCGATGGATGGATGCATGGATGGATGGCAGTAAAAAGAAAATAAAAGTCCAGAACATGAAGAAGCTTCATAAGCAGCTAATAAAACCCTAAAATCAGGAGGTGAACGGTCGAACGTCACTAAACTGAGACAGAAAAGCTTCAGAGCTGCAGATAGAAAAACTACAACTGATCAAACATGGTCACGTTGTTCGTCACCAGCTTTAATGGAAACATCAGGAGGTTGTAGTTTTATGACTGTTTACAGATATTTATTCACAAATTTATAAACAAACATTCTAATCAGCAGAATCATTTCTACATTATTGATTATTAGTTTCAGAAGTTTTATGACTCAAACTTTGAAAATTTGTTGCTTTTTTTCTTTAGTTTCATTCATGCATGAATTCAGAAACCTGCTCAGGTAAAACAGCTAATAAACATGTAATTAACAGTTAATAAACATGTAATAAACAGTTAATAATAATAATAACAGTTTTCTGACCTGCAGCAGAGCAGCAGCTGAGGGCGAGCGACAGCAGCAGTRAATGGAGCCACATCTCTCTCTCTCTGTTGTTCAGACTGAAGCTGAACCAAATCTGACTGAAGGAGAAACTTCCTCCTGAAAGAAACTGACCTCCTCCTCCTGCTCCTCCTCCTCCTCGGGGTCACATGATCATGTAAACATGTCAGCAGTTTAAGATCAGCTCTCAGTGATCAGATTTCATCACRTGAAGAAGCAAACGTGACCTTCAGGTTTGTTCAGAAGTGTTTAATAAAGACGATCAGGAAACGAATCTTCAGACATTTAATAATCAATGAGGACCATCTGACCAGCCTCTCTGGACGCTCACAGCTCAGGAAGATGATCTGCAGACGGGTCCAGGTGTCTGAGCTGGACAGGTCCTCCATCCAGATATCCCACTGCCGAACGATCAGGGAGTTGGACTTTACCACCTCAGCTGCTCCTTTCAACGAGGAGCTGCAGCAGCTCCTCTCTAAACCCCGCCTCCTGATGATGGCCGAGCCCAGCCACCCTGCAGAAGAAGCTCAGAATCCAGGATCTGCTTGTTTCAGTCATGACAAGGTGAGACCTGAGGACCCCCTCTCCACAGCTAAGACCCTGATTAGGACCAAGCTGGACCAGAGGCAGGCCAGGTGTGGTTGAGTCCAACCTGCACCTTGTTGGACGAATACAAACTGGTTTTAAAAGTGTCTCCAGCAGCTCACAGCCCTGCAGCTTCCCTGTCCTCCACAAACATCTGAAGGTCTGTGTCCACGTCCCAAAAATACAGCTGGACCAGGTGGTCCAAGTCCAGGACCACCTCAGCAGCTCCTGAAGGTCTGTGTCCA